TGCACGTGTGTTTGTGTGTGGGTGTGTGTGTGTGTGTGTGTGTATGAGAGAGCAGAGTGAGAGAGTGTGTGTGAGTGTGTGTATGAGAGAAAGAGAGAGAGAGAGAGAGTGTGTGTGTGTGTGTGTGTGTGTGTGTGTGTGTGTGTGTGCACGTGAGTGTGTGTGTGTGTGTGTGTGCGTGTGTGTGAATGCATGAGTGAGTGAGTGAGTATGTACACGTGTGTAATTGAGTGAGTGAGTGAGTGAATGTGCTTGCGTGTGTGTGTGTGTGTGTGTGTGTGTGTGTCTGTGGACATACGCACATGTGTGTGTGTGTGTGTGTGTGTGTGTGTGTGTGTGCATGCATGTGAGTCTGTGCACTTGTGTGTGTGTGTGTGTGTGTGTATGAGAGAGCAGAGTGAGAGAGTGTGTGTGAGTGTGTGTATGAGAGAAAGAGAGAGAGAGAGAGAGAGAGTGTGTGTGTGTGCTCCGGTGTGGATTAATATGTGATGATCGTACCGTTTCATCATTGTAGTCAAACAGAAGAGCATATATATGCAAGTCTGAGTCTCTGTGCTACACACAGACACTCTCACACATGTGTGTTTCATACACTCATCGTCTTGCGAAGGTGCCCTTGAGTACGTGTGTGTGGGGGTGTGAAGCGTGAGCTGTCGTCTTTGTGAGCTACATGATCTACCACACACACACACACACACACACACGTGCACACACACACACACACACACACACACACACACACACACACACACACACACACACACACACACACACTCACACACAGTTTAAAATGTACTGTTTAAAAATAAATTTTGCTATTTATTACTATTGATGCATAAACATGAAAATAATGAAATGCTATTTTGTGCCTTCATTTTTTACAGTTTTTTTTACAATCACTTTGCTACTATTTTCAGAAACTTGATGTCATTTTTCAAAACTCTAGACACAAAACAGTTATCACTTGTAACACAGGCTGTCTAATGTTCAAAACATTGCATTGTGCATTCACATCTTTAAGGAAATCTTGCACTTGCACAATCATTGGTTCAAAAAACAAATTTACTGTGAAATACCATTGAAACATAACTATAGATCACACACACACACACACACACACACAAGTAACCGATAGTTTCACTGTGTCATTGTTCGTACAATCATTACAGTAAATATTGTCGAACAAAATAGGTGATGCAGGTTTCTACATGTAGTAGAGTAAATATACATCTGTGTAAAAGTACTGCAGTATACAGATATAGTGGAATCATTGAACAAAGTGTGTGTTATTGATGCAAAACACTACAGTACAAACACAACATAGATTTATTGGAATCAAAGCATATAATAGTATTATCCATGGATATTGTTGTCTAATTGGTTCATGCTCCACACTAATTGGTGACAATGAACCTTATCTTGAAACTTTCATGATTTACTGTAAACATGGAAGATTGTATGTCTGTTTTCTCATTTTGAGCAGTTGTATCTATTGATAGTTGGATCATTGTAAGGAAATGAATAGACACTCATTTGAAATGTAACGTGTGAATTGCCTTTTTAAATAGATGCTAAGTTGTGTCATATTGAACAGCTGATTTATGTTGAATGAACAAATGATCAAAGTTTTATGTGTATTGTATCCAAGCAATTGAGAAATGGGTTAAAGTTTTGAAAAATTTGCATTTTGATCATTGGTTGTGAGTTAAAAAAATATTGATGGTATAACTTAAAAAAGTAAGTAACCTGGTTGCCTTAAAATTTTAAGTTCATTGAACTGGAAAAAGTGAGTTAATACAATGAAGGAGATTAATTTAACCATCAGAAACTCAAAATTATATGTTATCTGAACTAAATAAATTATTTAAGTTGATTTGACAAAAGAAAAAAATGTTGTGATTACTACACTGTAAAAAAATATTGTTGGTTTAACTTAAAAAAGTAAGTAACTTGGGTTGCCTTAAAATTTTAAGTTGATTGAACTGGAAAAAGTGAGTTAATACAGTGAAGGAGATTAATTTAACCATCAGAAACTCAAAATAATAAGTTATGTCAACCAAATAAATTATTATAAAGTTGATTTGACAAAAGAAAATATGTTGTGATAACAAATCTTGAAAATATTTTTTACAGTGTAGAGTTGTGAAAAATGACATCAAGGTTCTGAAAATAGTAACAAAGTGATTGTAAAAAACTGTAAAATATTCTATTTTAGTTCTGACATTATTATGAACTAAATCACAAATTGCCCTTAGCTTATTCAGAGAAGATACGCACACTACCGTTCAAAGGTTTGAGGTCAGTATGATTTTTTCCTGATTATTATCAATGTTGAAAACAGTTCCACAAGAAACCATGATACTTATTTTTCAGGATTCTGTGATGAATGAACAATTCAAAAGAGAACTTGAAATATTTTGTACTGTCACTTTAATGACCAATTTAATGCATCCTTTTTGAATAAAACTTTTAATTTCTTTCAAAAAACTGACCCCAAACTTTTGAATGACAGTGTAAATATTGAGATATATTCTGAATTTAGTTTTAAAGAAAAATACTTTTAGATGGTGTGTGTGAATGTGTGAAACGCTCATATTGTATGTTTTTTATCTGTTATGTAATTGCTCTGAGGGTTAGTGTTGGCTCTGCTCCATCTGTTTTAATTCTGCACGCTTCTCAGTAATGAGCCGTTAAACACCAGTGTGTCCATTAGCAGCTGGCCAGTCTGCCTGTTGAACACACACACACACACACACACACACAAATACACGTGTGTTATTTCTTTATGCCACATTGACATGAGGGGAATCTTGACTAGAGACTGCTTTAACCCTGTTTATTAGACTAGCTGTCATTCTCTGAAGAGACGCTAATTAAAAACTCGCTCAAGAGCTCATTATGACACTAATTTGCTTTTTTGATGATTAATTGTATTTCCGCATGAAATATACCACAATATAAAGTTTGCTATAATAAAATCCTGCATGCTTATGCACATCATAACTGTACTGTACATAGACATCTTCTATCAAATGCACAACTGCGTTTTCATTAATAAATGATTTGAATTAATAGTATAAATTATGAGGTCATTTATTTTATTTAGAAAGGATGCATTCTAGGGATGGGCAACGATTAATCGCAATTAATCACATCCAAAATAAAAGTTTGTGTTTACATAATATATGTGTGTGTGCCGTGTGGTGTGTATAATTAATTTGTATATATAAATACCCACACATGCATGTATATATTTAAGAAAAATGTGTTATTAATATATCAAATATTTATTTTTATATATAATATTTATTATGTATAAATATATATAAAGGATGTACATGCAAATATTTCTTAAATATATACATTAATGTGCGTGTATTTATAAATACAAATTAATTATAAACACTACACACACATATATTATGTAAACGTTATGTAACCGTTGCCCATCCCTAATCAATTGCTACAATTTCCCTTTTTTAAACATTTTATATAGATTATTATTTACATATTTTGCTTATGCATATTAAAAAAAAAACCCTGGCATTTGTCCTTTGGTAATATTGAGACCTTACCCGTCCAGCACTGGGTCTTTTACACTGTAAGTAAAGGTTGCTGTCATGTTGTGGTGAAGCTTTCAATATGAAACAAAACTAAACAGTTTCCATGTTGAAGAACATGGGTCAGTGTGATGTCATGGATTAGTAACCATGGTAACGCTCTTGTGTTTGGACTGCACTTTCATCCCCATAAAAAGCAGAGTAATCTATTGAGGAACTGGATGAAAATAGACCAGTTTACAAGATGTAAACAACGCTGGTCCAGAAACACTTCCTGTTTCAGTTTGTAACTGTTTTCTTCATTTCACATGTAAAGAAAACATCTTAAAGATGTTTAACTTTTTGATTCAGTTTTATATGTTCTGTTGGTTGTATTTTATCCCAGCTTTTATGTAGTGTTAAAAACTGAAACAGGAAGTGCTTCTGGACCAGTGTTGTTTACATCTTGTGAAATGGTCTATACACTTGTGTTCTCAAGCAATGCGTGTGAACTGTCTTTTGTTTTTTTCAAAGCAATGCATTTGCTCATGATTATTTACTCACGCTCATGTTATTCCAGCCCTGTGTGAACTGTGGAGTGGATCTGCTGCTGGGTTTTGTTTTCACCGATGTCATGTTCTAGGCGGTAACCCGGATGAGCGGCCATTATGGAGGCACTCGGGTGTAAACAACAGCATGGACTGCACTGTTAATGTACTACAGAACACATTGTAATGTTACCCTAAAAAAAACAAAAAAAACAAAAAAAAAACAGAAAAAATCCGTGGTAGGTGCGAAATCATATAGAGAAGGACATATCAAGCAGGAGAGAGCGCAATATTTTGACAAATAAAAGTTAAAGTGTTTAATGAATGAGCTAGCTTCTGTAGCCCGTATGGCAGTTCTTCCTTCTTTCTTCGGATTTCTTATTCTGACATAGGCTACGCTCAGATTGCCAGCCCAAAAACCACATGAAATCAGTTTCAAGCTACATCCATATGTGGTTTGAAATTAAAACCTATTCAAATATCAGGACAAATGCCTCAGTCTGGACGATCAGCCTGATGCGACCGATTAGTACAGATCGTTTTTCAGCAGAAATAATCAGCCAGATTTGCGAGTCCGTTCAGTTCAACGGCACTGTTTATGTTCTGTGCCTCCAACATGGCCGACTTCCGGATTGATGAAAACCCTCAGTGTTGTGAAAACCCTCAGTGCCTAGTGTCTCAGGAGCAAGCACTCGCAGTATCCTTCAGAAAATCATTATTCACTAGTTAGGACAGATTGTGTGTGTGTGTGTGTGTGTGTGTGTGTGTGGTGAGAATCTGTCTCTGTTTGACATGCGGGGACAAATGTGTCTGTCAGTGAGAGACGCATCCATTACGCCCTGTCACTCTGAGACACACCTCCATACTGACTATACTGACACATACTCTCTCTCTCTCTCTCTCTCTCCCTCAGAGGAATGATGAGGAGGCGGTTGTGGACAGAGGAGGCACTCGCTCCATGCTTAAAGCCGGATTGGAGAAGGAGGAGCTAGAAGGTAAACACACACACACGCATAAATAGAGCTGGTAAGTCCCGCCCCTTCAGCTAGCCCCGCTGGACCTCTAGGTTGGAAAATCCTCAATGCAAGTGAATGAGAGAAAAAAATGATTTTCTAATCCCGTTTGAATTTTGCAATGAATGTAACATATGTTGTCTGTGAATTTTTTCTATAATGTTTCGTGTAAATAATGCTACAATTTAGCGGGTAGAATTTTCATACGGTTTGACTTTGTTTGAGAGCACTTTGAGAACTACAACTCTTTCGACGTGTTTGATATACATCACCCCCACCTCTAGCACACGGATCCCGCTAAACATGCCTGTGTCTTTGGTGCACTTCACCAGTGGTGGAGGAACTACTGATTCTCAGTACTTAAGTAAAAGTACAAATAACCAGATAAATATTCACTTTAGTAAAAGTAGAAGTAACACAATGACAACCATACTTAAGTAAAAAGTAAAAAGTACTTTATTTTAAATGTACTTTAAGTATTAAAAGTAAAAGTACTTGCATAACAATTTATTATCTTAATGTCTATTTTCTAATGATTAATAAAACATTTAATTCTAACTTATTCAACCTAATAGCCTACTCCTATAATGATGTTCAATAATGATGGAAAAAAATGTCACCATTTCTGAAACAAGCTTGCAATTAGGCAATATACACATCATGCTTATCCTTACTATATGTTAATAACTATGTTTGGCAGTAAACGCGATTCATTTATGGTGTAATTATGAACCTCTTGGCTTGCCATAATCCTAACCAAACCAAACGTATATTACACACGGTGTGTTTCCTATGCACGTAAAAACTAATTTTCGCGTATGAGTTGCACGATAAACACACTGCGTGCGAGACGCATTTAGTGTGCCCGGGTTGATATACTGTACACTGTAATGAATTGCTGTAAAAATTACAGCCATATTTTACAGCCGCTGGCTGTTTTCTAATAATACAGCATTTTGCTGTAAACTGCAATGCATTCTGGGGCCGCGTGGCGGTTTGATTCAAAATACAGAATATTGCTGTAAATTTCAAATCGACACAGAGGCATTGTGATCTTCAACGGTCGTGTCGTCGACTTTCGGATAGCGGCAAGAGGAGTGATTCTCAACTGGTAAGTGACTTATTTCAGTTTCTTATGTTTCATGTTGTGTTACTCGTAGACTATGAAGGTAATGTTATATTCGCGGTTCATATTGGTTACCGAGGATCACGCATCCTCCGTACGGGGCGCGAGGGAGACTTGCGCGGGGCTTCAGCAGCCCAGACGCGGGTAGTATTTCACACATTCCCCGGGATCTATGGGCTCCTTTGTTGAGAAGAATTACATGCTTTTCTGACAACAGTCGGTATTCACACGAGCTTCGTGTTGATCAGCACACTTCGCCGTGATTATTTTATGGTGTAAATCAAATCATAATCTGTTAAAATGGGCGCCGAAATGAAAAAAAAAAAAAAAAAAAAACAGATTATGAATGTTGCTGTGTCGTAACGTTATGTTTAATATTCCGGTGTGAAAATCCCTTACATTTCAGTACGAATATAAGCTATATATCCTATATATTTTAGCTATAACATTAGCCTAAGTTACTCTCTGTGTGTAATTTGCTATTTGTTTTCATACTTCCTTTGTTAATTTTATTTAAAAGAAAGAGTTCCTGCACTCTGAATACTAAAATATAGTTTACATATAAAATGCTGAAACATAAAAATGGTATAGTAAAAAATAAACTTTTGTCACATGTGTGGTATTGTTTTAGGAGACACTTTGACAAGAGGACACTGGAAGGCCAAGTTGTGTGTGAGGAGAGCATTCAGCCCAGCTTCCTGTCTGGCCTTGCTACTGTTCACTGCATATTATTACATATTCAATCAGGAGGAGCCAGCCTGCACCTTGGAGTTCATAATTAGGTAATTATTGCATTCTTAACAACCTCAGTACATTTTACACATGTACTCAATATCTGCCTTTTGATGTATTATCTATTGACTTAAAGGGATAGTTCACGTTGAAAGTAATTTTTGATATGTTTTAGCTTACCTCAAGGGCATCCAAGATCTAGGTGTCTTTGTTTTCACAGTATTTTTAATTTTGACATTTTTAGGTCGAACCGTTCTTGTCTTCAGTCATATAATGGAGGTCTATGGTCACCACCTCAAAGAGCATGCACAGAGAAGTCCAAATTAAACATGATTTAATGACTCGTAAATGTAAGTACACATTGATGGCCTAAGACAAACGGAAGTGATCTCTCGCGCGTATACGTCACTCGTCTCGTACGTCATTCGTTTTCTCACACAAACCGCTCGTTTCGTGTCTTAGGCCATCAATGTGTACTTACATTTACGAGTCATTAAATCATGTTTAATTTGGACTTCTCTGTGCATGCTCTTTGAGGTGGTGACCATAGACCTCCATTATATGACTGACGACAAGAATGGTTCGACTTAAAAATATCAAAATTGAAAATACTGGAAACAAAGACACCTACATCTTGGATGCCCTTGAGGTAAGCTAAAACATATCAAAAATTAATTTCAAAGTGAACTATCCCTTTAATTAGTTAAATCAGGTGTTTTAATTTGTGGACATAGGGTTAGGGTTGGGAGGTCTTCCTGGGAGGTCCTCATGACTGGAGTTGAGAAACACTGCTCTAACAGATTTAAAAATCATGATTACAAGCATGAAAAACTTAAAACCAATCCTAATTACATATTGTCTGTTTCCTGACCCTTTATGTGCTTTGTAAGAGAGGAACAAAGAAGAAAATTGCCATCTAAAAGGACAGGGCAAATGGTACAGAAGAAACAGGTTGCAGTGAACCCACGTGTTGCCACTCTTCCCTGCAAAGTGGTGTGTTCAGTGGAATTTCTGAAATGTAAGTACACACACAAACACACACACAAATATCTATTTTTTCCTTTAATTGTAACCTTTTAATATTCTTTATCTGACTCTAACTGTATCTGTCATCCCTCTGTCTGTCTCTGACTGTATCATTATGTTTTGTAATATATCTAATGTAGTGTCCTTTTCAATATTTCTAGCCACTCTTTGCATCCTGTGATGGAACAGCATCCGGAGCTGAATTATTCTCCATTTTTGATCATACGTGTTTTGGACTCACTTGGGGCCTTGTTGTTTGGACATGTTTGTCTGGGAACGAAGAGGTGACAATTCATTCATGTCTGTTTTTTTTTTTTTTTTTTCAGAACCATTTTATTTTGATCATGTTGGTCAACTTGTTGTTTTAAATGTCATTTGCGTATTTCTTCTTTGTGTGAAGGGCCCTGATGGCTTATTTGTTTTAAGTAATTAAAAAAAAAAAAATTTCATGTCCATTTGTAAATAATAATTAAAAAATAAAAAAAATATACAAAATACACTGTTTTATGCTTTTTTCCATGCATATTTTAAAGTTATAAATTAAATAAATGTTGACCTGTTTTTATAGGATGTTGAATAGTTTGTTTGTTTTGTGAAGTAATAGGGGAATTAAGTTGCGTGTTATACAACACTTACTGAATTTAAAAACAATTGTTTAAAGCTTATGCAGTTGATAAATAATTAACATTTAAAATTCAGCTGGCATTTTAAATATTTCCCAGATATAGCGAATACAAAGATTCATGGAACTACTGTAAAAAATACAGTTATTTACTGTAATCAGAGAATACAGTAAAAATCTGTAAATTAAATTACAGAACTATACTGTAAAAAATACAGTAACTGGCTGGCAACCCTGCTGCCAGTATTTTACTGTAAAATTTACAGGAAAATTTTTTACAGTGTATCTATGGCAACCAAACGTCACTGGTGAGACAAACGTGCAACGAACGGACGGTCAGATTACGTTTTGGCAGGGGAAAAACTGACCAGAAAATGTAACAGAAGTTGTAGAAATGTAGTGGAGTAGAAAGTATAATAATTGCTGCAAAATGTAACGAAGTAAAAGTAAAAAGTAGGCACTATTTATTCTACTTAAGTAAAGTAAAGATACGTGAAAAATGTACTTAAGTAAAGTAACGAAGTATTTGTACTTCGTTACATTCCACCACTGCACTTCACCGCCTTCTTTCAGGGAGAGGACAAACTAGTTGAGTCGAGTGATTTGTGGAGGGAAAAATTTGTGTTATGCGGCGACGTCACATATGCGACGTGTAGTCTTTCTCATTATGTCTATTCCACAACTGCTAGCCAAAGAATCATATACTATATATAAATATACTGTCAAACTCGTTACATGAGAAATTATATAAAAAATTCACAGACAACATATGTCACATTCATGGCACAATAATTATTTTCTCTCATTCACTTGCATTGAGGCCACCCTTAAAAATATTCTTGTTTGCCGTAACCCGACCGACCCTGTCAATTTAGGGCCGACCCAATTTTTTATTTTTTTTCCCTTTTTGTCCGACCGACTTGCCGGTTGTAACCTGCGTTCAGACCGACCGATTTTTTTTTTACTCTTCAAACGACTAATTCAAATTCAATAAAATAATATTAATTATATTTTAGTTAGTATTGTGAAAGTTGCTTGTGTCTACATACCCTACAAACGTAGGCTACGTTCTTTCTTAAATAAAAACCCGTGGCGTCATATTCATCAGATAATGTTTACACATTGGTTTAACGTTACGCGTGTCACTATATGGCTTGTACGTTCGCTCGTTTCAGTGTTCCCGCTTGGTACCCGGTATTAAAAGGGCAACGGGGCTGAATATCAACCATTTCTATATATAATAAAAATATTAAACAATTTGTCTGTGATGCAATTTTGCTATTCGCAGTCCAGAAGAGAGAGCGATCTCTCACCCGGAGCCGGAGCGCGCACAGCACGACAGCCCTGCTTAATGAGTGACAATGAGGACAAAACGTGGTTACACTTTAGATCTGGGATATTATTCTAATTGTATTTTAGATTTCCGCTTTCAAAGATTATAAAAAGAAGATATTTGAGATGAAACCATTACAGACGCATTCTGTCTAGCGCAACTTCCTTCCCTTCACAGCGCTGCGCTGTAATTTCTTCCTAAAACCCAAACGTACCGTCAGAATCAGCACGATCGGTGATTGTTGTAAAATGCAGTCTGTACTGTTGCTAAACTGCGGACGCGTGCAATCATTAAAAGAGCTATTAAAAGCACAAAAGTCTGCGCAAGAGACGTTGTTCACGACGCGCGACGCGCGCTCCGAAATGCACTAAAACGAGACAAGAAAAGTAGGCTATCGCCTCATTTTGGGCTTCATGTGCGCATCTAAACCATCAAATATACATAAACACAGTTTATGTCTTAATTGGACGTAAATAGTTGGGAGAAAACGATGGTGCATCATCAGTCATCTATTACAGTAGAGTTCTGCGTTCGGTCTTAAAGGGGCAGTAGTCTAATAAACGTGACGATTGAGCCAATGCGAATCAAACAACAAAAGGCAGATAAAAATCACTCACAGGCAGCTCTTGAATGAATAACTTAAACTTTAATAAGCATTAATCTAACTATGATAAACTATGCAGTGTCATTTTACATTTGATTACTAGCTAAATTAAATTTCTTTTCAGAGAGAGCGACAGACTTAACTAATTTTAGACCTTCCTGAAATTAAAGCACTGTGTATATAGGCTAATTTGTATCTTTGTTTAATTATATTCTTTGTTTGACCATGTGTTTGTACTTGTTTTTGCTAATCTCATGTATATATGCATAACAAATAGATATTTTATACATTTTGTGACTAGCCTAAAATGTAACTGGTCGTATTTTGCATTAACACCTAGCGGCCGATGCACAGTTTGTAGACCCAGTCAGTGACGTCACAATATGCATTTTTTTTTAAAATTCACGATCACCATCTCCAAAATTTTACCTTTTTTTTTTACACTGAATCTTGGAAAAAAAAATATAGACCTACCTACCGACCCTTTTTTAAAAAAAAATTGCTGTTACTGCAAACCAAAATATTTTTAAGGATGGCCTGACGCTTTTTCAACCTAGAGGTCTCACAGTTTTACGGATGGGCGGGACTTACCAGCTCTATACTCGTATAAACACTCGGTCACATGATGATCAATGTACGCTACTGTTTGAGGTCATTAAAAAAAGGAAATTAATACTTTAAAGGAGTAGTTCACTTTTAAAAAAACTTTTGCTTTTTAGGCTGACCACAAAACTAGGCTGACCACAGTGCTTTACAGAACGACCAGATTAAAATATAGTACGACCAGCATAACAACACAAATAAGAGCATCAAAGCTAAGCGAAACCTTAACAAAACAGTGTCAGACTCAAATATGAAGAGATCAGTATACTGAAGTAAACAGGTATATGTTCAGAGAGCTCTGAATGCATGTTCATGTGTTGCTTAACCATGCAATATTGATAATAATAGTTTAATTAAAACGTATACCAAAATGTGTGCTACGTAGTTTAGGCTAACATCAAAATGAATTAAAATGAATTTATTTTCAACAGATTCTTTTATAGTCTAGCATCAAAATAAAAGCTTCCAGTGTAATAAATCACAAGAGCACGACATCGCTCACTTGCAGTGGTCAAGCTCTTCTTTGAGCCACTGTCTCACACACACACAGTAATAAGCTATTCAGAGCTAGCGCTCAGAGAAGCTAATGCTAGTCTGAAAGGAAAGAGTGTGGGTGGCAAATCAAGAGCACGTCGCACCAGAGAGACGTGTGTGTGTGTGTGTGTGTGCCTCTGAAATGACATGAAGAGCTGTGGGAGGATGGATGGCTGGTATCTGAGAGCGTTTAACGGTGGAAAAGAACAGCTACTCGAAGCGTATTCTCCCAGGACTGCATGACGTCAGCAGCGCTTCTGCCCCTGGATCGGCTATTTTTACATTCTGCCTGTGAAAAAGAGGCAGGGACAGAGAGAATAATTACAGTATCCAGATTATAATAATAAATGGGTCATCAGAATCTAAATAGAGGCTCTATATCCTACACAGCTCTGAAATGAAGTGCTAGACAACGATAAATTGCATCCAAAATAAAAGTTTGTGTTTACTGTGTATAATTATTTTGTATATATAAATACACATATGCATGTATATATTTGCATGTATATATACTTTTATAAATATTTATACATAATTTATATTTTATATAAATATAACTGTTTGTAGGGCTGGGCAACGATCAATCGCATCCAAAATAAAAGTTCTGGGGTGTGTGTAGTGTGTATATAAAAATTCACGCACATGCATGTATATATTTAAGAAAAATGTGTTATTAATATATAAAATATTTCTATTTAATATAAATTATGCATACATATATATAAAGTATATACATGCATGCAAATATTTCTTAAATATAAATTCTTAAGAAAAATGTGTTATTAATATATAAAATATTTCTATTTAATATAAATTATGTATACATAAATATAAAGTATATACATGCAAATATTTCTTAAATATATACATGCATGTGTGTGTATTTATATATACAAAATAATTATACACAGCACACACATTTATTATGTAAACTTTTATTTTGGATGTGATTAAATGCTGTCTAGCACTTAAAATAAGAAGACATATTCGCTGAAAGGACAAGCTGGCATTATGTGGATATTACCCAGAATCCCATGCAGTAATGAGCCGACTGTCAATATACTGTATATATTAGACTGAGCTGTGAAAACACTGCTTGTGACAGCAAAAAATATGACTTTTCCTCCACTCACTGCAGTTTGTAAATACCTCTATCATTTATTCAGACACGTTTCATAACCCAGTGAGTCTAGGCATCTGTAAGATTCAATCTGGATTGGCCAAAAGCTCACAAAACGGGCACACTTCGCACATACATGAGGATATTTTGTGCATAAAGCCACATTCTCTGAAGAACGTGAGTGAATAACACTGCTCTGATATCTCAGTGTCATATTTTGTGTCTAAATGTCATGACTAAACACGAGTGGTCAACCTTGTAAAGTCTAAAGCTTTAGAAATCGATATAAGCCGTGTCATTGAGCCGTTTCCCATCAGTCAGTCCTTCTCATAATGTTATGTCATTCAAACTCAACATTACAGCTTTAATGATGTAATTTAAGCCTCATTTTATCCAGCTTTCAGCTCCCTTTTAACTGCCAGGAAGAGGAAGATCTGTCTGTAGGTTAGCATTAGTCTATATATGTCGCACACAGACACACAGACAGATGTTACGCTTGCTGCAGTTAAACTCATGCTGTTGTCTGGACCTCTCAATCATTCAAATGCAATTACAGTGAGTGATTTCCGTTATTTAGCATTGTTCAAAACAATATAAATACTTAAGGTCTTTACATTCCACTTTAAAATATAATGACAGCAATTTTAGGGATAATATGTTTAAGGAAGCATCCGTGCCAAATGGTAGGCAGCCGTATAATTATCGTATAATTGTATTTTCATAATTATGTAGGATAATCATTCCAAATGAGCCACAGTATAATTACACTGCCTTCTAAAACACCTTCGTTTGGATGAATACTAAAGCAGCACTGTATAATTCAATACTTACAAAGCTCAATACTTACAAGGCTTTTACAAATAACTTGAAAATTTGGCTTATTAACAATTATGTCTGCCAACATTAAAAGCCGAACCAAGAGCTGTATCATATATTTAATATATTAAAGCCTTTTTGTAAATGTATTTTTGTGTATTTTATTATTGTAACAGGTACAGTGTACCCTAAGTTATCTTATAGTGTTATTTATATTGTAGTTATTTTTTAGTCAATTTGCCATAGACCTATAAATGTATTTTCTTGTTTGTATTGTAATGCTTTTTTTACATCTTGGCCAGGGGACTACAGATGAAAAATAGCCTTTTGGCTAATTCTGGCTTTTTTTAACCATGTTTGTTCATGCGTTTTATGAAATTGCACTGTCCCCTTTTAAATAAACCAATAAATCAAATCAAAAAGCACTGCTAAGATCTTTTCTGGAAAAGACAAACCCATAATGCAATGCAACGGAGTAAGTGACGAGTAAAAAAATAATTAAAAAAAAATTCATCTGGGTTATGAACGTTTAAGTCAATTATAAAAGTTGATTATGTTACTGTTTTGTTTCAATTCAAATTCAATAAAAAAAACTTTATTATTTATCAACCAGTGATAAAAGGTGATTGTTAAAAGGCTCACATATACACAATACAATCACACACACATCACAATAAAAAAATGTTTTGCTTTGGTACTTTTTTCACAAGTAAGGTGTTCATTTTCACAATTGAAACTGGTCCCATGCTTTCATTAGTAATACACAGTTCAGTCGACATAATCATTGTTTCAAAGATTATTGAAATATGGGTAACACTTTACACTGTAAAAAAATATTGATGGTTTAACTTAAAAAAGTAAGTAACCTGGTTGCCTTAAAATTTTGAGTTGATTGAACTGGAAAAGTGAGTTAATACAATGAAGTAGATTAATTTAACCATCACAAAACTCAAAATTATATGTTATCTGAACTAAATAAATTATTTAAGTTGATTTGACAAAAGAAAAAATGTGATTACTACACTGTAAAAAATATTGTTGGTTTAACTTAAAAAAGTAAGTAACCTGGGTTGCCTTAAAATTTTAAGTTGATTGAACTGGAAAAAGTGAGTTAATACAATGAAGGAGATTAATTTAACCATCAGAAACACAAAATAATAAGTTATCTCAACTAAATGAATTATTATAAAGTTGATTTGACAAAAGAAAATATGTGGTGATAACAAATCTTGAAAATATTTTTTACAGTGTAGAATATACGGTTCCTTCGTTAATGAATAACTACACAAGAACCAATAAGTAACACAATATTAACAATCTAGTAACTATTATTAACTAACAAGAAACTCTGATTAACGAACTAGTAAGTATAGCGAACAGATGAAAGTGGTAGTTCACTATTAACTAATCAAGAACTACATTTTTTAATGCTTCCCAGAGAACGACTGAAAAAGTTTCAACAATCTAGTAACTACTATTGACTAAAAATAAACTCTGAATTAAAGTGTTACTACATGCTTTTATGGGAATTACTAATTATTTGGATCCGTATTATAAAGTGAACTGACTAGTAATGACTCAAGTGTTACTAGAATCAATGTGAGTGGTTTCATTTAATATACAGGAGATTTGACGTTCTCTGAGTCCCTGTCTGTTTGCTGTTGGTCAATAGGTCACCGGACTCTGTATATCGGTGTTCATGTTCCTCTGGGCAGAAGAACCCACCGACGCCATCGACATCACGGACACCGGCACAGGAAGAGGAGCAAGGAGAGAGACTCGGGGGTCGAAGACGGACGAGAATCACCTTCATACAGTAACTGTCCTTCCTTTCCTCAACACATGCAATCTTAGTACGTTTGTCTTGTTTTTCAGTACAAATATCTAAACATAGATTTGTTTGACGCACAAAATGACTTTTACTTTGGCTGATTTTTGTCTTGTTTGCAGCCAAAAGCTCAGGTCAATTTGATACATATTGCCTTTTGCATTTCAAACAAATCTATCTTGAATTAAGCACGTTGAGATGTTTGTACTGTAAAACAAAACAGAGACTCGGAAACACTTTACATTTAGCTCATGTACATTTAGAAGAATGAATGTGTATTTAAAATGGGTCATTTATGTAGAGGAAATGTGAAATTATTAGAGCCAGACCGATATATTGGCCGATATTAGGCATTTTCCAAAATATCGGTATCGTCAGTTATAATGGCCGATAAATGAATATTTCAAAAATAAATAAAAATGGACGAAACACGCTTCAATCATCTCTCCTTGGCCTGTTATATTGAAAATGTATGTTTTAAAATTTGCAGTATGACGTTATCTATTGCTAAATTATGGCTCATCATAGACTAGCTAACCACAAAGCTACAGTAGCTAATGCCACTATCATCAGTGGAAGACCGCTAACGTTAACATTAATGAGCTTGGAAACCACAATGAACTTTTTCTGCCTAAATAAAGTAACGATTACTGTATTTATAACTAGCATATCTCTAGTTACAGTTCCTGCATTGTAAAATGTAAGTTAGACTTGCGAGGAGTGAACATTTAGACAGAGAGAAAAAGTATCAGACGTATCTTGTGCAGAAAAGTTAGCTTTTCTTTTACACGTGTGTGAAATCCAACGACGCCAAGTGTGTGTTGCAGACTGTCGTTCTGTAATGGATTTAGAATCGCTAAATAAAAATGGTTTGATGTAGCTTGATGGAAAGAATTTAAGGTAAAGGGATAAACAAGCTGACATTGTAATTATAAGTTAGCTTATAAGGCAATGTAGGGACTAATTATTATTTTATTTATCAGAACTTTAATATATTTTGATGTTCCTCTTTTCTGTTGTGACAATAAAAGAAACACGTTTATTTTTAAAATGCTTTATCATTTTATTTTAGTTAAAACTCATAAATAACTACAAATAACTATGTTAGGAAAATCTGTTAATGTTTTGTTGCGCGTTTCTGAAAAAAAAAATACATATATCGGCCGATATATCGGAATATTGGATTTTAAAACCCCAAAATATTTGTATCATATTGGCCTTCAAAATCCTTTATCAGTCGGACTCTAAAAATTATGTTTGAATTTGGAGCTTTCTAGACTGAGAAAAGCCAGAAAATGTATTTTTGGCTTATGTGGATGAAAGACAACAACTCCCAGAATGCACTTTCCTAGGAGGCCACGCCTACCGGTAACAGAGCGCAGTAGTTAAACAACAAGTCTAGGCTACTAGTGAGTCTCCTATACATGTTTATTTGTTAGATATACTAGGTTTGGAGTGAGCGCCACTCTTGTGTATGTTTTGGTAGTTACTTTATTTAGGTGCCGAATGCACTGAAGATTTCGTTGGGTAGGTTTAGGTTCAGCGTAAGGATTGTTTTGTGATTTGTCGCCACTGTTTGGTTCTCTTCCCTTTTATTTGTTGATGTAAATGACAGTATTTTTTTTAAAATCCCATATCCTTTATTTTTTCTGTTTGATGTCGTCTACGGTTCCTTCCGATTCCCTTTCATCGGTTCATCGGTCTGTCCTATTTGATCGCTTCTTTGATGTGCGCTGTCTTTCACTTTCGTTCTCTGTTCTCACAGTCGAATGTGTGTTTGTCTTTTAGCAGCTCATCATGACCACTAATGACAACATAACTTGTGTGTGTTTTGGCCGTCTGATGTTTTAGCCATGTGACCTTTACGATATTAAAAACCCCTGAAATGATGCGTCACAGATACTCCCTCTCAGAGGGTTCAGTTCCTGCTGGGCACTGAGGATGATGATGAAGAGCACATACCACATGACCTCTTCACTGAGCTGGATGAGATCTGCCTCCGGGATGGAGAGGATGCTGAGTGGAGAGAAACCGCCAGGTACTGACCCATGTGACTCAGTCATGTGATACCACCTCAAACAGTCATATCTAGATTCACACCGCATTCGCCGCATAATTATGAGACGACAGCCCAAAAGCAGTCAGCAGTGTTGGGTGTAACTAATTACTAAGTAATTAGTTACTGTAATTTAATTACTTTTCCCTTGAAAATATAAAGTAAGGGATTACTCTTCATTTATCTGTAATTTAATTACAGTTACTTCTGATGTAATTGAGGTAAATAGCTACTGTGTATCGATCAATCCGATCTCACAGTGATTCGTATGCATTTTATGAGGTGTCTAAATCGTAGGACCGCACTCGTACAAATTCGTATGAATTATTGTAAAATATGAAAAAAGTGTGAAATGTAATGAGATCAGACAAAAAACATAGTGGGTTTAACATCAAAATGTACTGTCTGATGTTAAAAAGTATGTTTTTATAATTGAACCTTCTCCTTAGTCAGTTTAAGGATAATTCATGCAATTTTATAGTATTTATTTGAAAGAATTAAAACAGATTCATGCTATCCTTGTATTATTCAGCTGGTTGAGAATGATATGGGATTTTGAAAGTAATTAGTAATTAAAAGTAATTAAATACTTTTTAGAGAGAGTAATTAGTACAGTAATCTAATTACACTGTTGAAGAGGTAATTAGTAACTAGTAATTAATTACTTTTTTAGAGTAACTTACCCAACACTGGCAGTCAGGTGGTACAAGACAAGTTAGAGCTCTTCTAAATTGTAATTACGAGGACGTGAATGCTCTATACAAGTTAAAATTGCGTAATTATGGAAAATCCGATGCACATTTAGTCGTTTGATACGCATTTATGGTTCAGCGGCAAATCAGGATGTCTGAGAAGATGAAACGTATTTAAAAAAATCTAGTTTAGAATATATGTGGCACGTTTTTAAAATATGATTTTTATAATCCTGATTTTATTCAATGATTTTATGACTCTAAAAAGTGGCATAGTAAATAGTAAAAATGTATACATTTTTATGTCATAAAAGCATAACTGTTTTGTGTGAAATATGATAAAAAAGTGATTGCCTTTTTGATTTTTTTAGACAGTTTTCCAGGTTTAAAGGAAAATATTGTCTGATTTTTTTTACTTGATTATTACACAGATCGAGAGTCATTTATTATTTTTTTCTTGTTATATCAATATTGTTGTTTTCTTTAAAATTTTGCATTTTGAGATTAATTCATGACACTAAACAATATTCTCCTGTGAATTATATACCATTTATTTCTATATAAAATAATACAGTACAAATATTCAAAATAAACACATTTTAATCGATTTTTTTGTTCAATTAAAGCAATAAGGCAGAGAGAGTCTATATAGATGTTTTTCAAAATGCATGAAATCAACATGATGAATGCAAAGATTACATTTCAAAGAACCTGACTTGCTTGTGCTTTCACCATCTACGACATCTTTATTGGTTTTCAACCCACGAATAATTAATCTATATTTTTTGCAGTGCTTTTGACATGACTTGTTAATGTTCAGCGTTTTTCAGAGATTGACTCTCATATGTTTTGAGAGCATGAGTGATGCATTAAATCTGTTGAGCGGCATTAGTCTAAGAGAGCTGAGGTTATATAAAGAGCCATTGTTGTGTAATGTGTGTGTGATAAAACAGAAAGGCTAAATACAGCACTTATAATGATGGTTTCTACATTGTCCTATGGCATCACTTCTAAATGCAAGTTCACTCAGCGCAGGAATTATTTTAATTTTGTCTTCATGAAGTATAGACAACATGTAAATGAGGTCCTTTATATCCAAAAAATATGAAATATTCACATGAAACTACACACATCCTCATTTACGTAATCAGTTAGAGTTGTATTGTATTTATTTATTTCTCCGGTCAGTCATTTTGAGATCATATGTCATAGATCATATGTAATGCAAAAAAAAACAAAAACAAATACATAAAAAACAATGAAACAAAATAGAAAAGGAAAATATGATTGAAATACATCAGAAATACATTTTTTTATGCTAATAAATACCTGAAGTTATTTTTAAATACTAATTTTTCATTGCAAGCACTGAATGACAGTTCATAGTGCTCTCGAGTTGTAAACAGGCATATTCGAGATGTGAAATAAAGGACGTAAGGCTTGTGCACGATATTTTGATTCGTCTGGATTAGTACGAGAGCTTGATGTTCTGACTTGCACGGCTCGTCTGGCTGCTGGTGTGATGGTTTGAACTGTGTCCAGGTGGCTGAAGTTTGAGGAGGACGTGGAGGACGGTGGTGAGCGCTGGAGTAAACCGTACGTGGCCACGCTCTCTCTGCACAGTCTCTTCGAGCTGCGCAGCTGCATCATCAACGGCACCGTCATGCTGGACATGAGGGCCAGCTCTCTGGAGGAGGTCGCAGGTACTGTAGCGCCGCTTTCTGTGCCGTACATTCATGAGAGGAACAAAGCAATTTGTCAAAGGATTATTAGGAACACCATACTAATACTGTGTTTGACCCCCTTTCGCCTTAATTCTACGTGGCGTTGATTCAACAAGCTGCTGAAAGCATTCTTTAGAAATGTTGGCCCATATTGATAGGATAGCATCTTGCAGTTGATGGAGATTTGTGGGATCGAAGCTCCCGTTCCACCACATCCCAAAGATGCTCTATTGGGTTGAGATCTGGTGACTGTGGCGGCCATCTTAGTACAGTCAACTCATTGGCATGTTCAAGAAACCAATTTGAAATGATTCCAGCTGGAAGTAGCCATCAGAGGATGGGGACATGGTGGACATAAAGGGATGGACATGGTCAGAAACAATGCTCAGGTAGGCTGTGGCATTTAAACGATGCCCAATTGGCACTAAGGCTACGTTCACACTGCAGGGCTTAATGCTCAATTCCGATTTTTTGAAAAAATTCGATTTTTTTGCAAGGCCGTTCACATTTCCAATTAAATGCGACCTTTTGTGATCTCCTGTGTGAACTTGAAATGACCTAGAAGTGACCCGCATGCGCAGAAGAGTAATCAACGGTCCAAGACGTCACTTGTTGTTTGCAGAATAGTTCTTTTTTTTTTTCATATGTTGCGAGCTTTTGTTTTATTATTATTATTGCCACAGCCCATATACAAACACAGACAATAATTATTTTATTATTTATAATTATTTTATTTAGCAGTTTGCACATAAATGTAAGATTTTTCCGATCCTCACCGACCTCGTCATAAAACCCGTTTAATTGATAGTGCGTGTCCGCGGCGCTCCTTGCTTTGTCACCGGCGGCCGCGGTGTTGCCAGATTGGGTGGTTATTCGCTACATTTTAAGGCATGTTCACATGTGTTTTAGCCAGGTTTTCGCTTGGAAGGCTCTATATCTGGCACCCTACTGTACAAAGTTATACTGACAGAGAGCGCACGTTCACATACACCAGAATGAACGTGTTCACAGTAATGTTCATCAGGCAGTAATACAGTATGTTTATTTCGGGCGAACGTGAATAATATGATACGTGAAAATATGAACGCGTTCATGCACTATCGTTCATTGAACGTCGTTCAGGCACAACACTGGGGAAGAGACACGTCTGCAGTGGCCCATAACAGTGAGGAAACGCGTTGGAGTTAGCGTGTATTGGCTGGCTACAGGTGCTTGCAATGACGTGCGGGTCGGATATATGTGACCTGGCCGTTCAGATTGAAGTCGCATTTCAAAAGATCGGATACATATCGGATTTAGACCACATACCCAAGTGGCCTGGGTCGCATTTGAAAAGATCGGATCTGTGTCGTTCAGACTGTCATGAAAAAATCAGATACAGGTCGCATAGGGGCAAAAAAATCGGAATTAGGTCGTTTCAGCCTGCAGTGTGAACGTAGCCTAAGGGGCCTAAAGTGTGCCAAGAAAACATCGCCCACACCATTACACCACCACCACCAGCCTGCACAGTGGGAACAAGGCATGATGGATCCATGTTCTCATTCTGTTTACACCAAATTCTGACTCTACCATCTGAATCGAGACTCAAACATGAGAAATTGAACAGGTGTTCTTAATAATCCTTTAGGTGAGTGTATAATGCCAGGTTTATTTTACTACTTGGTTTGGAAGCAAGCTGGAATGTAAATAAGAGTTGGGTGTGTTTTATTTTAAAGAAATGCAACAAATTAAAAAAAATATCATAGAACTGATTCCAGTTGGCTATAAAACAACATCTGTCACTTCTAGGTCACAATTAATCCAAATATCAAATAAAAAAATAAATAAAAATAAAATAAATCAAGACTTTTTTGGGTAAAGTTTGCACTGAATTACATAATCTATAATCCTCATTATTGCAACAAAGAAAATCGGATAAAACGTCTATGCCTTTATAGCTGTTGGGGCATGTTGTCACAAAAAGTCAACGTGTGTTGGATGATCTGTATGTTTCCGTGTACTATAGGTTCAATGCAATAGAGCAAGCATCCAGAGGTGACTGTGCTGTGGAAATGCATTGTCTTCATTGTTTAGTGTCAGTCATGAATTATACAGCGTTTCCATCTTCTCACTCTCATGTGAATTTTGCATTACTGAAGCTGTTCTGCATCTTCAGATACATGAGACGGGTCTCCGAGCAGCTGCTCCATCGCTTGTCATCAGCATCAATGTCAGTTTCTGATGCAGAGTTCAAGGAACATCTGCAAAATAGGCACAGATGAGTTTTTTGCTAAACATTTAGCATAGATTAGCTATTTAAAGAGCACATTTGCTCCGTATATCAAGACAGCATGCCTTGCGGGGGATTCATCACTCTATTTATTATTCAGGTTTAGTTAATAATTAACACTTTGGTAGAGCATATAAGTTTAATATAGCATTTGACAGCTTTATAACTGCAGATCACAATGACAATAAACCTGAAAAGAAGATTTCAGATGATTGGAAAACTACTTTTGTTGTGATTTATATATATATATATATATATATATATGTGTGTGTATATATATATATATATGTATATATATATATATATGTGTGTGTATATATATATATATATATATATATATGTATATGTATATGTATATATATATATATATATATATATATATATATGACCAGGGACTGGGGTTGCAAATTAGCCTATTGGCTAGAAACCTTTTATGCAACACATTTACACATTTTGTTATGGTTTTGCCTATAATAATTATGTATGTAATAATGTGTGCTGCATTGTTCCTGACAAATAAACTAAAATAAACTAAATATATATATATATATATATATATATATATATATATATATATATATATATATATATATATATATATATAAATGATATTATATTATATTATATATTATTAATTAATATTAATAAAAAATATATATATATATATATATATATATATATTAATTAATTATATTTATTTATTCATTTATTTAATTATTAATAATAAGGTCAATACGTTTTCTTGTTCAATATTGCAATATTATCTTCTTATCTGCTGCTGATCATTTGTAATGTTGTGTGTTGAATCTCTTAGATATGGTTCTGGACCAACAGGAAGTGGCTGGGCATCTTGAAGATGATGTCAGGAGGAAGGTCAAAGAGGCTCTTCTGAAGCAGCATCATCATCAGAACCAGAAGAAACTGGCCAATCGGATCCCCATCGTCCGCTCCTTCGCTGATATCGGCAAGAGGCAGTCTGAGTCCAACTGCATCGACAAAAACGGTATTCATTTGTCTTAACACACGAGATCTGATTCTAACACAAATTAAACACACTACAGCTCAAAAGTTTGGGGTCAGAAAATGAATTCGAAATTGATAAGTTTGGAAAAATTAAATTGATCAGTGACAGATTTATATTTCAAGTAAACGCTGTTCTTTTGAACTCGCTATTTATCACGAATAATGAAAAAAGAATACATCAAAGTTTGCACAAAAATATCAGTTTTCAACATTGATAATAATCCGAAATGTTTCTTGAGCAGCAAATCAGCATATTAGAATGATTTCTGAATGATAATGATGCTTAAAATTAATAATACATTACATTTAAAACATTACAATAAGAAACTGCTAGTTATTTAATAGTTATTTTGATCAAATAAATGGTAAACATTTCAAAAGCATTCAACCAGCCCCAAACTTAGTGTATAACAAAATGCAATGTCCAAACAACCTTCACATTTATTCCTTATAATTCACAGAGGTGTGTAAAATTTCTTCAAATGCAGAAACCCAAAAAATACACACAATTTCTGTATTCTATATTATGCATTTAATTCTGTAACTCTTGTGTAATTTGACTGTTTGTTGTTTCTGGTTTCATTAGAAATATCAGATCCACCATCTCAGAGTTTCAGCGTCTCTGTTGTCTCGTATGTGTGTGTGTGTGTGTGTGTGTCTGACAGGCGCTTCATCTCATCTCTTTAAGTCTTCTCTGTGGCGATCAGTTGTTTCAGATGGGAATGATGGGCAGGTCTCATCTTGTTCTCCATGTTGGCCTCTGTGCTGCTCGTCCAGTGTGTCCATCACTTCACCTCTCCCTCCTCCATCCTCCTCATCCACACACCCAAACAAGAACCCCACGGCCACCTTCAGCCCGGACCGAGAGGACGGCTTGGATCCAGGCAACTTTTAACTTCAGAGACTTTCCCTTCTGCTGTAGTGCTTCCTAAAACATAACATGTAAAGGTGGTTATCTCAGAGAACAGGTTGCACGTCTTAAATGGTGGAGGAATCTTTTCAGGACATGTGCGGCACACTTCATTATTGTAATTTGCGGTGCTTCGTGAGATGGGCGGCGTAAAAGAGTTTTTTTTGGCGTGAATTGCTTGTTACGATTTTCTGGTGGAGATTTCTTTGCAGAATCATCATGGGTGATAGAGTTTTTAGTTTATGGTTAACGCAAATACCATCGATTAACAACCTCTTAGCTGACATTAAAGGAGTAGTTCACTTTTCAAAAAACGTTTGCTGATAATTTACTCACCCCCATGTCATCCAAGATATCCATGTCATTCTTTCTTCAGCCGAAAAGAAATTAAGGTTTTTGATGAAAACATTCCAGGATTTTTCTCCATATAATGGACTTCAATGGGGACCAAAACGGTTCAAGGTCCAAAAGACAGTTTCAGTGCAAACTGTTCAAAGGGCTTTAAACGATTCCAGACGATAAATAAGGGTCTTATCAAGCGAAACGATCGCTCATTTAATAAATAAATAACAAAGTTTAAAGCTACACTGTGTGATTTTTACCCCCATCTAGTGGTGAAAAGGTATATGACCATCCAGTGAATAGTAGTTTCTGTTCCTCTTTTTTCTCCAATTTCGTTTTAACTCCTACGGTGGCCAATGTAGTCCAAGATTAACATGGCTTCCAGTTCGACCTCGCCCATGAGTGTTAACTCAAACGTAAACGCGAAAGGCGAAGCTTGAATTAACGGGTATGTCCCTCTTTGGCTAATGTACTTTCAAGATGGAGGGGCAACATGGCGACCGACATTAGAACCCCTTACCCGTATGCATTTTCAATGGCATATTATGCACTCACGAGAATACTTTATTACTTGAACGAAGTAAATATACATTAATGAGCACATATATTTTTGAAAAAACTAAGCGTTTTTAACGAAGAATAAACTAAAATAGTTACACAGTGTAGCTTTAAGGTTTATAAACTCAAATGCTCGCCTTGCTCTGTTCTGTGATGCACGTTCGTGACTCTCCTGTTCGAACTCGTTCATCAAAATGAACAAATCTTTTGGTGCGAGTCATTTGGTTCATTCAACGAATTGACTCGGAAAAAGATTTGTTCATTTTGATGAACGAGTTCGAACAGGAGAGTCCCAAACGTGCATCGTAGAACAGAGCAAAGCGAGCATTTGAGCTCATAAAACTTAAACTTTCTCATTTGCATTTAAAGGGCCAGACACAAAACGGTGCGTTTTTGCTAAACCTCAAAAATTGACAACTTTAACATGCTTTTTAAAAATATCAATGGGGTATTTTGAGCTAAAACTTCACATACACACTCTGGGGACATCAGAGATTAATTTTACATCTTGTGAAAAGGGCATTATACCACCCCTTTAAGTGAACGTAAAGAGTTGAGAAAGAAAACGCACCTGTAATGGATTTGTGCGTCAGGTCTTAAAGTGACAGAAGCTTAATATGCCTAATATAAAAAAATATCTGTATGGCAGTTTTCCTCATGCATCGATGTCAAAATTGTGGCCGGAGAAAATGCAGAGTGGCTTGTAAGTTTAGAAAAGCACTATTCACAGTGGCTGGTGAGCAAAAAAAGATGCCCCAACACATGTAAGTGTGAATTTAGTATTGTACAATTCATACCAATAGATAAGCAGTGTTTTTGCAGATATATTACTGTGAGGAAGGTGAAAGCTATTCTGAATATTCATCACCTTTATACAGGGCTTATGTTTAGGAAGTTTGCCAGCTTCCCACACGCTAACGCTAACACATGAAGTGCACCAGACCCCTCCGTTCTCTGTTCAAAGGCTCAGAGCATCATTAATACTCTAATTCATGCAGCGCTGCCTGCGCCAAAGCATTAAAACAGCAGCGAGCATGACTAATAAACACAAATCTGTTCATGTAGCGATGCTCCCTTAACCGAGGGCTTTGGTGGTGCTTCATGCGCTGAACGCTGTAGAGATGTTTCGCTTGCTTTCGCTGCCTTTAGAGTAGACCGCACTTGATTTGTTCATCAAGTTTGGATAAGTGATGCTTGTTAGTGATCTATTTTTGAAGGCTGCTCGTTAAATCATCTCTCGGCTCACTTTATGGATGTTTCATTCACTTTTGATGGTCTGAGATCATAACAGATCGTCATTAAAATCATTTTCGCCCCTATCAATTCATAAACTTCATTACAGTTTGCTACATTTAATTGGGAAATAAATACAGCCGATGCTTATGCTCCGCTCCGTTCATCGGTTGATTTGCATTGATTAGCATTGTATTGATTGATTGATTGATTGGTACTTTATGTGTCTGCAGGTCAGATGATGTCACCACAGTCTCTACCCATAAGCACAGAGGGCAAGAATGATGTGAGCCGTGAAAACAGTGCTGTGGACTTCAGCAAGGTTTGCCAAATAAAATACACTTCCATTCAATTTTTTTATTTATTTTTTTTTTTTTTAAGAAATTAAAACTTTTATTCAGCAAGGATTCAATAAATTGATCAAAGGATGACTCTGTTCATCAAAGAATCCTGAAAAAAAACAAAACAAAAGAAATTCGAATGATTTCTGAAAGATCATCACCTTTGACCACAGGAATAAAATACATTTTAAAATATATTCAAATGTAAATTGTAATAATATTTCAAAATATTGCTGTTTTTACCGAATATTTTGGTGAATGAATGCAGCCTTGGTGAGACATTAACTCGAACGTTTGAATGTTATGCACAACTAGATGTGATGCATAATTTTTTTAATGTGCAAAAAAACATTGATTTTCTAAAACATACATTTATTAAAATTTTATGGTAATTCTTACTTTTTCCTTTCCCAAACAGTTGTGCTGGTAATTCTATTAACCCTTTCCTTGATGAAATTTTCCGGCTTTCAGTGTTTCCACTGTCATATGGTAGGGGGCAGTTATTACGCATCCTCTGAACGAGTACGAAATCTCCGGATCAAATTCAAAAGAAGCAAAAACCAGCTATAAAAGCATTACTTATGCACGTTTTAGTCTTTTGTTCAAAATGTTACTTTTTACTAAATTTTCCCACATATAAGTGTTGATAAAAAAGAACGCTTAATGCTAGAATAAAATGTTGTTGTTTGTTTAAAAGCAGAGTCTCTGTTCTCTATTTATATATATTGCATGTTCAGATATTCAAACAAACAAATATTCTGGGGCCATGAAATTTTTGTGAAAATGATCAAAAACGCTGGCGGTGGCTGGTAATGTTTTTAAAAAACACTGGCAGGGAAAGAGTTAATATTATTTTTTCGTCATATATGGTGGAGTAAATGAAAGTTTCTGTTTGTACAGTACAGTATGTAAAGTGTCTTACAGTTCAGTAAAGTACGTAGAGGTCTGTCGATTTTCTCTGAAAAGTTTCTCGTCGTCTGTCTGTTCTGGGAAAGGGATTATGGTTGAAACACATTGTGGCTGAAGCCCTCTTCACCTGACATTAGTCTGGTCTGTTTCTTGCATTAAGTGGGTATTATGGTTGTGATCCCATGAACAGACGAGAGGATCACAAAGAGAGTCATGATGAAATACTGTAATAAAATGAAGAGTAACATTATGAAATCTTACATAACACATGACCTTTTGCATTATGTTAGTATAACATAATCTCTTTGGCTGTATACTGTAGATCATCTTGAACTTTGACCCTAAACCAGTCTAAGAACACATTTCCATAGGATCCTACATTCTGCAAAAAGCTTCATATAGGCCTATGTGCACATTGACGCACAGGATTTGTTTTTCCGTGATTTTTAATATTCCAAGATTTGATGATTAAATCTCAGAATGCTGGATTTGAATGGGTTGCAGAATTACGGTGGCTTGACAAAACCAGTATACTAGCAGAAAAGGGGTTAAGATTTTTATTACAACCAGTGATATTTTAGTAAAATTGATATACTATTATATTTTTTGTTGATATTTTAAATAGTTTTTTTATATGTTGTATTTTATATATATATATATATATATATACAGTATAATATAGTATATATATATTAACTGAACATATTAATAATCCCCCCCCCCCCATAGTTTTATCACTATTAAACTTTTAAAATCTCTTTAAAGCGTCCAATTATTTCAAAAGCCTAAGGCCTGTATGACAAACCTATGGAAGCTTGTTTCCGCCACAGAATGAAAAATAAAAAAGGTAATTGCCACTTTTTATCTCGCATTTCTGACTTTATTTCTCACCGTTGTTATATAAGTCAGAATTGTGAGATATAAAGTCAGAATTCATTTATATATAGTCGAAATTGCGTGTTATAAAGTCAGAATTGCGAGATATAAACTTGCAATTGTGAGAAAAAAATTCAGTATTGTGAGATAAAAAGTCTCAATTCTGTCTTTTCTCGCAATTTCTCAGAATTGCGACTTTATGTTTCACAATTACGACTTTTATTTCTCACAATTGCTACTTTATATCTCGCATTTGCAACTTTATTTCTCACAATTGCGACTTTATTTCTCACACTTGCGACTTTATATCTCGCAATTGCGACTTTATTTCTCACAATTGCTACTTTATATCTCGCATTTGCAACTTTATTTCTCACAATTGCGACTTTATTTCTCACACTTGCGACTTTATATCTCGCAATTGCGACTTTTATTTCTCACAATTGCTACTTTATATCTCGCATTTGCAACTTTATTTCTCACAATTGCGACTTTATTTCTCACAATTGCTACTTTCGCATTTGCGACTTTATTTCTCACAATTGCTACTTTCTCATTTGCGACTTTATTTCTCACAATTGCGACTTTATATCTCGCATTTGCAACTTTATTTCTCACAATTGCGACTTTATTTCTCACACTTGCGACTTTATATCTTGCAATTACGACTTTATTTCTCACAATTGCTACTTTCGCATTTGCGACTTTATTACTCACAATTGCTACTTTCTCATTTGCGACTTTATTTCTCACAATTACGACTTTATATCTCAGAACTGCGACTTTATATCTCGCAATTGCGACTTTATTTCTCACAATTGCGACTTTATATCTCACAATTACGAGTTTATTTCTCAGAACTGCCACTTTATATCTCGCAATAGCGACTTTATTTCTCAGAACTGCGACTTTACATTTATATCTCACAATTGTGAGATAAAAAGTCGATATTATTATTTTTTTTTTATTCAATGGCGGAAACAAGCTTCCATACAAACCTGTTTAAAACATCCATGCAAGACTTTGTTTTCAATATGCATGTGTATATCTCAACTAGTGACTCCTGCATAATAATGTGTGTGTAGATAGACCTGCACTTCATGAAGAAGATCCCTGCAGGAGCGGAGGCCTCGAATGTCTTGGTTGGAGAGCTGGAGTTTCTGGACAGGCCTGTGGTGGCGTTTGTCCGCCTCTCTCCTGCCGTACTGCTCAACGGCCTGGCAGAAGTGCCCATTACCACCAGGTGAACACCATGGGCCCTATCATACACCTGGTGCAAGTGTTTCTTGCTAGTTTCAGCAATAGGCTGAAACCATAGGCAGATCGTTCACATAGGGCCCCAAGTTTGCTTTGTGAAACTCAACATAAGAACACCAGTTACATTGCTGTTTTGTGCTTGATCTGTCAGATTCCTGTTCATCCTGCTGGGGCCTCTGGGTAAAGGGCCACAATATCACGAGATTGGCAGATCAATTGCGACCTTGATGACAGATGAGGTGAGAGAGCATGGTATTGTTTCACAGTTAACAAGGTACTGTTTGTATGTTTGATACAGATGCATTTTAGAATATTTCAAAATGAACAGTTCTGATTGGATGAGCTGCATTTGAAGCTGTTTTTAAAAACTCTATAATTCCGATTTCTGTAATTTAATCAAACAGAATTTTTTTTACAAAGTTTTTAGATCTATCAAAAATGATGTCACTTCCTGGGAGATGATGTCACTCAGGAACTGGCTTTTGTTGGTTTTACAAAACCTACAAAATGTAAAATTACTTAAAATGTACTTGTTTACTGAATGATGATTTAAAGAAAAAAAAACTAATGTGATTAAAAAAAATAATAATTGAATTTCTGGAGAGCACCAAAGGGTTTGTATTTACAACGTGTTTTTGCAGTGATGAGCAATGAAGCCATTAAGCAAATCACAGATATATCTGTTGGTCTCTTGAACGCAGTAGCCAATCAGAGACATTTAAGTCAGTCAGAATCCACTCACCGCTCAAGTTTTTGTCCGGTTCAGAGTTCTGCACTCTCACGAATACTCTCATTATAACAAACGAAGATTAATAAGGAGATTTTTAGTGATCATAAATGGAGCAGCTCGATAACAAAGCTGACATCAGCAACAACAAACTTATAGTTGACAACATGTTATATTGGACTAATTTAAACACTGCCTGCATCATGACGTGAATAATACATCACCATAACGCGTTAATTATACATGACAGCTCAGTTATCATAGGTATTATTAGCTTAAACACCACTTAAACTGTGCTTTATTTTAGTGTGAAATCACAAGTTAAGGTCTCTTCATGGCAGACACGGATGTTTGTGTTTTATTCTGAAATAGCTTTTTATTGGCAACACTAACACTTTGAGTAAAAAAATTACAAATAAAATGTAAGCTTCTGTAATGTTGTTTTGTTTATTTCAGTAATGTTGCTGCTTGCTATTACTTTACCAAAAACGTCTATGTGTCGACACACTGATGATGGCTTAGGCTAAATGGACATGGTATTAATAAATACAGTATTTGAGATATAAAGAGATATAACTAGATATCTATATCTATCTAGATATAACTAGAGAGTGCGGTTTTTCACCTTCATTTGATAACTTCTTAATAACTCGCCCCCACACGGTTTGGGAGTTGAGTGTTTTAAAAGAAACCATAGGACTGTAGTCTAAAGCATTCATGTAAAGTGTGAGAAGTGTATGCTCAGAAACGGCAAGGTTATTTGATTGCACTTTTGTTCATTTGTAGTTTAGTTGTTTTATTATCACCATCCATTTATTTAATTCATATATGTGTTAACATTTTTACTATTTATGTTATAGTCAATTGCAGTTCATATGAAAGATAAACATTTATATATTCATATATATATATTTTGTATTATGGCCGCTAATTAAATCTCACCAAGGCCACTAACAGAGCCTGGGTCGACCCTGATTTTAAGATGCATGATGGAAAAATTAAAATGTACCCATTAATATTAATAAATGTAAATCATGAACGTTAGTGTCTTTTATCGTGTTATTGTTGCTGTGCATTGCATTGTATCCAGAACACCCCTACAAATTCACCACCTTGAGCGTATTATCATTGCTTTAATAAAGCGTGTTTCATGCAGACTGAAGATGAGAGGATAGGAAACTCCTGAGGTCTTTCACAGCTCAGCAGATTCTCTCTCACTTAGTCTTTGAGGTGCAGAGGAGACTTACAGAACGGCCCTAATAACATGCAAATGACTGCTAATTAGACAGAAAACCACCCTTGTGCCAAGCTGCTGGTTGATGTTGCTAAGGCAACATTTTAAGACATTAAATAGCAGGATAATGTGAAAATGTACTTTTTTTTCCAGGCTTCCTGCACTCTTAGAAGAAAAGGTTCTATTTAGAACCTTAAAAGGTTCTATCAGCGCTACGTATTTGGAACCCCTAAAAGGTTCTATATGGAACCTTTTGGGTTACAATATCATTTGTTTTGTCCTTTCCGGATTAAATATTTCATACTATTGACAAACATCAAGATCCTAAAATGTATTTATGAATGCATATGAATGATCACAAAGTTCAAGATATGGGGATATTTATATCATTTTATGTAGTTAATCAATATCACACGAAGAATGCCATTTCAGTTTTTTTCCTCCAAAAATCAGCATGATTAAAATGTGATATTAAGTTACTACAGCAGTTTAATAATCAATAATTTAATTACAACTACAAAATGTTGCAGAATAATGTAACATATGAATGAATAATAGCCTATAGAGAACCTTTGTGCCAAAAGGGTTCTTTCTTGTCATTATAGAAGCTTTTTTTTTTAGCATAATTGAGTAAAGAACCCTATGCTTCATATATAGAACCCTTTATATCGTTTATTTACCCTCATTTCATTTCAGATACTCATTTTTTTTTCATGAAACAAATGGAGAAACTAGGAAGAACATCCAAAGTGCAAAGAATGTGGAAGGTTTTTTACACTGCCAAGCTCTAAAATTAATAAAAATGTATCATAAAAACTTTACTTTATTGATATGCAATATATACTACAATCTATTTTGTGTTCAACTAAAAGATGAATTCGTTTTGATTTTTGTACAAACTATTCCTTTAATTTAGATTTTAGATTCTTCTTTCATCACATCTGATTCATATTTTTTGACTGAGAATGTTCTGTTTTTCTCTTTTGCAGGTTTTCCACGATGTGGCCTATAAAGCTAAAGACCGCAACGATCTGATTGCCGGAATTGACGAATTTCTTGACCAAGTTACAGTTCTGCCACCAGGAGAATGGGACCCTTCCATTAGGATAGAGCCGCCAAAAAACGTCCCGTCCCAGGTCAGTGAAGCAAGATCACAAACCTGAGAAACCTACTGTACGACAACACTCATCTGATGTAGGCTTGAAAGTCTGGACACACTTAACTAAATTTATGTTGCTCACAATCTTAAAAGACTAAAGACTAATGCTTAAATGTTTCAAATGAGTTTTTTAGATGTACATATTGCATTTCTAAACAAAATTAAACGTTTAATTGCATTGAAAGGGATGAGTTGCAGAGTACAAAGTGAAGGTACTTCATTATTCCTCATTCACTAGTTTAAAAGCACCCATGATGCACCTCATGAATGTCCAGAGTGAGAAGAGCTGGAACTAAGATAAAGATAAAGAAAAAGAGCCCATATTATGTCTTGATTTTGTTTTTGGGCGCTACTAGAACAGGTTTTCATGCATAAATGTTCAAAAAACATAATTTTTTTTTCCATATATGACATTGCAGCTCGTCTCTTCCCAGTCTGTGCTCTGATTGGTCGGCTGGATAAGTGTGTTGTGATTGGTCAAGCGCTTTGAGTGTGTTTGGGAAATGTCCTGAAATGTTGAAAATAGCTCAACCACGCCCCGCCCCTTTATTCTGCATATTAATTATTTAAATGAGGAATATTGTGATGCGTTTGTTCCCGGAAGAAAACTCAAGACTGCAGGGAGTTCAGAAACACTGACACTGATATCGAGAATAAGAGAGCTTTTTCATGCTCAAACAGCAACATTACACACGAAGAAAAAGCATAAAAAGTTTTCTTTACATATACGAGAGTTTGTCTCACTCCATCTTTCCCAGACTTCCATTGTGTTATTTTAGTGTTTTCATCACCTTTAATAATTAGGTGTTCAAATCTTTGGCTGGTAATGTATATAATACATAGATATTATTTTAGTTCATATTGAATGAAAAACTCTTCTGTTAAGTAATAACAAAAGTGATTTCTGCCATGTGTGTATGTACAGTAAGTCATGTGATGTAATAATGCACATGATTTATAAAGCTGCCATCTGCTTATAAAGATTAAATCAGAGTGTTTACTGTAGAATCTCGATGTAGAAATATTGAAGCGAGGATTAACTTTAACAGTGCACTGTAAAATAAATGAGCAAAAATAGACCCTTTTTCTTCAGTGCATTTAAGTGATGTAATTTACCACAGGGGTGTGTAATTTTTGGATCTTCCCTCTGGATGGAGGCTTAGATTTAAAAACAGTTTTATACCAGCAGCAATCACTATGCTAAACAAACAGTACATTTATTCTGTACAAAATACATAAGCAACCTGGTCATGTACTGTACTTGGTCCTTCCTTTTTATTTATTTTTTATTATTTTATTTTATTTTTTATGTATTTATCACCTGCTGTTTTTATATGTTTTAATGTTTGGTATGTTGAATGTTATGTTTGTGGTCAATGAAGGATGCCTCTCAGACTGAAAAACTAGTTTACCTATGGGTACCAATAAAGTAACCTGAACCTAAGCACTGACATTAATCTGAGACACAAATGAGAATATTATACTATTATATTAATTCACTTAGGCCAACTAACACAGGTTCGTTCATTCACATAGTTCAACTAACACAGGTTCGTCTGTATACACTGTAAAAAATATTTTCAAGATTTGTTATCACAACAAATTTTCTTTTGTCAAATCAACTTTATAATAATTTATTTAGTTGAGATAACTTATTATTTTGTGTTTCTGATGGTTAAATTAATCTCCTTCATTGTATTAACTCACTTTTTCCAGTTCAATCAACTTAAAATTTTAAGGCAACCCAGGTTACTTACTTTTTTAAGTTAAACCAACAATATTTTTTTACAGTGTAGTAATCACAACATTTTTTCTTTTGTCAAATCAACTTAAACATTTATTTAGTTCAGATAACATATAATTTTGAGTTTCTGATGGTTAAATTAATCTCCTTCATTGTATTAACTCACTTTTTCCAGTTCAATCAACTTAAAATTTTAAGGCAACCCAGGTTACTTACTTTTTTAAGTTAAACCAACAATATTTTTTTACAGTGTAGTAATCACAACATTTTTTCTTTTGTCAAATCAACTTAAACATTTATTTAGTTCAGATAACATATAATTTTGAGTTTCTGATGGTTAAATTAATCTCCTTCATTGTATTAACTCACTTTTTCCAGTTCAAGCAACTTAAAATTTTAAGGCAACCAGGTTACTTACTTTTTTAAGTTAAACCAACAATATTTTTTTACAGTGTAATCACAACATTTTTTCTTTTGTCAAATCAACTTAAATCATTTATTTAGTTCAGATAACATATAATTTTGAGTTTCTGATGGTTAAATTAATCTCCTTCATTGTATTAACTCACTTTTTCCAGTTCAATGAACTTAAAATTTTAAGGCAACCAGGTTACTTATTTTTTTAAGTTAAACCATCAATATTTTTTTACAGTGTAGTAATCGAGTGTCGAAAGTGATGTAGTTGAGTGTGATGAAAAAAGAGGCGCGAGTCTCCACAAAATCCAAACGCAAGTCGTCACGGATACCAGGTGGAAACAGGCTTTCTCTCTCACTCGTTCGATTTACTGGATATTATATATATTGCAGCTATTAATATGTTGGATGTTCACATTATTCATAAAATTGTCTGTTTGGGTGTTGATTTTCAACAGCATTTCTCAGACATCGCTTACTGCACCTTTAAGCCGTTCAGGCTTAATTAATTGCAAGTCTATCAACTATATATCAAATAATTTGGTGAATTGGTATGTTTCGTCAGGGCGTGAAGAGAAATAGAGCTGAGTATCATCAGTGTAACAGTGAAAACAAAAGCCATGCTTCCTTTTTTATTATTATAAACATGTATTTATTGAATTTTTAACAATTAACAATGATATTCATTTTACATTTAACAAATAAATTTAACAAAGCGTATAACAATCAAACTATAAAAGAAAAGAATCCACTCCCCCCACCCCCACAAAAAAAAAAAAAAACGCACTGGATAACGACATTATATAATCATACATAGCTTAGGAAATACAGACAATTAGGTATATATATGACCTTCAAGTTTCCAGAGTTTCCTCGGCCTCACAATTCTCCAAAAATGCAAGAATGGGATTCCAGATCTCTTTAAATTCGGCTGATTTCTTTTTCATTGTGTATGTTAACTTTTCGAGGATAAGGCATGCTGATATTTCTTTCAGCCATCGACCAATAGAAGGCCTCCTGACATCTTTCCAACAGAGAGAGATCAAGCGTCTAGCTTGTACTAAACATAGGTCTGTGATTTTTCTCTCTTTGTGGTTTAACATACAGTCCTTTGGATACAAATTAAGAATGCAAAGTGCAGGATCGTCAGTAAAGCCATGCTTCCTAATATCTCCCAGGGTGAAAAGCAACGGTCCTAGTATGTTGTAGGACATAAATTCTCAACCATCTCTAGCCCCCTTGTTTAATTATTGGTATTCATTAATATTTATTCCGTGCACATTGTGTTATTTATTAAATGTAGGATGTTTATAATGTTTACGTTACTCTATTTGGCCTCATTAATTGCAAACAAAGTGTTTTGAAATTGAAATGGTCTCTACAATCAACTTAGATCACGATGCTTTTGAGAATATTTGAGCAAACTCTGTCAATATCTTCAAGTCCTGTCAGAATTCCTCTCACAGTTTTCTGCTGTATCCCTCATCGTCGTCTCTGTGTTTGATATAACAGGAGAAGAGAAAGATCCCTGCAGTGCCTAATGGAGAGCTGGCAGAGACAGAGGAACACAGTGGACATGGAGGCCCTGAGCTGCAGCGCACCGGGAGGTCAGTCTGGAGTGTGTGTGTGTGTGTGTGTATGTGTGTGTAGACACATCAGAATCGCATGTCAATTATCTAGCGAAACGATCGCTCATTTAAAAAAATAAATAACAAAGTTGAAGTTTTATAAGCTCTAATAGTCGCCTTGCTCTGTTCTGTGATGTGACGAAAATGAACAAATCTTTTTTCGAGTCATTTGGTTCATTCAATGAACAAAATGAACAAGTTGACTCGGGAAGATTTGTTCATTTTGATGAAACTGGAGAGTCATGAACGCGCATCACAGAACAGAGCAAGGCGACCATTTGAGCTTATAAAAGTTAAACTTTGTTATTCATTTATTAAATGAGCGATCGTTTCACTTGATAAGACCCTTATTCATCGTCTGGTGTCGTTTAAAGCCCTTTGAACAGTTTGCAGTTTGCACTGAAACTCTCATTTGGACCTTGAACCGTTTGGTTCCCATTGAAGTCCATTATATGGAGAAAAATCCTGGAATGTTTTCATCAAAAACCTTAATTTCTTTTCGACTGAAGAAAGAAAGACATGGACATCTTGGATGACATGGGGGTGAGGAAATTATCAGCAAAGGTTTTTTTTTAAAAAGTGAACTTCTCCTTTAATCTCAATTTTAGTTGCGAAGCTGTAAATAGAGTGACAGAAAGCTCTCAGATTTCATAAAGATCTTCACTACAAGTCTTGATATTAGGGAGAGAAAATGATGACAGAATATTTTTTTAGGTGAATTATCCCTTTAATAATTGTGCCTCTATACCAAAGTCTGAGATATCAATCTGAACTCACTAATTTCTCATCAAATTCTTTCCAAATTATCTCAGCTGTCATGCTGTCTATACTCCTATTTTGAAGTTAATACTTACAAGTGAATTCAATGAATGTCTCATGAACCTTGAAAATGTTAAAAGATCCTCTCAGAAACAAGAATAATGCAACCGGTCATGTTCAGTTAAACAGCTCACAATAATGCAGATCATTGAGGATGATGGTTTGGTTGTCTACTACGATGTAACCGAGAGCCGTGCCACTGAAGACCAGGTTTTCAACTCTCCAGTGAACTGGACAGATGCCATGTTTGACATTTGGTCACACTCTTCCTGTTGAGTGACAGTTTTCACAACTTTGAGTGACTTTCTCTCTTCTCACAACAATAATCCCCTTCTGTTCTCAGATGGCTCTTTTCTCCCAAATGGTCATATCTGATCAGCCCTAATTAATATTTCTTTCTAGTTTTATAGTATGTCCGGCTTATTTAGTATGTATTCTGTGCACAGTATGTGGATTTTCTGAATGCATGGAATACCTGGATGATCTGCTATATTTTATAAATTGTGCAACGACAGACACTTTGTAAAATACTGAATGCTTTCGACTTGATTACATTAACAGTGACAAATGCACTGGATATAATATCTGCTGTGATTTTATCATCTCTTTCTTCAACTGGACTCCCAAATATTAAGACTTTTTTTAAATACAAAATTGAATTAAAAGTGTTTTACAATTTTATCTTTATATGTATGCACTAAATTAATATCAGTTTTAGACATTTATACGTAATTTTTGCCACACCATTTAACTGTGAAAAATCACTGTTGTATTTCTTACAAACTATGAAGTTGTATTTAGCATTTACTAAAAAAAAAAACATATACATATTTTTGTGCCTATAACAGTGCAACTGTTTTTTCATATGCAAGACGCGCCAGACTTGCTGTGAAAAAGCCATGCTCAGAAAACCTGTGATTTTTGAGAGGAATATTCCACATATGTGTCATGGAGAAAAAAAAATCCATCCTCCAGCCATCATATAGATGAAATTACTTTTCTGCTTAGGAAAATGTTTGTAGAAGATGTGTGGCTTGCAAGAAATTCTTTACACAGTAAAAGAAATAATAGTTTGAAAATTAAGTCTGTTTTTTGTGCATTATTTTCATGAGAATTAAGTTCCATTATTGTAATAATTAATTCCCGTTATTCTCATTAATATAATAGAGTACTTTTTGTGACTTACAAATGGAGAAAAGATACATAGATAAACTTTTTTTTACTTACACTGTAAAATATTGTTGGTTTAACTTAAAAAAAATGAAGTAACCTGGTTGCCTTAAAAATTTAAGTTGATTGAACTGGAAAAATTGAGTTAATACAGTGAAGGAGATTGATTTAATCATCAGAAACTCAAAATATTATGTTATCTGAACTACATATATTATTTAAGTTGATTTGACAAAAGAAAAAATGTGGTGATTACAAATCATGAACAAGTTTTTTTTTGTTGTTAAAAATGAGATTTGCAACAAATTCTCTGCAGTCCAAAATAAAAAATAAATAGTTTGAAAATGAATCCTATTTTTATTAGTTGCATTAAGATTGTTATGCAATTAATCATTTTAATGAGAACTAAGCACTTTTCCCCTCCCAAATTCCCAACATTTGGGTTTGTCCAGCAATTTTTAGAGTGTAATATAATACATTACTGTAAAAATTAAGTCATTTTTTTGCATAATAGTAATGACAATTTGGAAGGAAAAGGTTTATTTGTCATCTAGTGTTCATTTTGCATATACTTCTCTACGGAATATAACACAGCGCTGAATTGAGTGTAAGCCAGTTTTCCAGCTCTTTCCGCGCCTGATCTTGTGTGTCTGGTGTGTTTTGTCAGGTTTTTTGGTGGATTAGTTATGGATGTGAAGAGGAAGGCTCCTCACTTTCTGTCGGATTTCACCGATGCGCTCAGCCTGCAGTGTTTGGCCTCGTTCCTGTTCCTGTACTGCGCCTGCATGTCCCCGGTCATCACCTTCGGAGGACTGCTGGGAGAAGCTACTGAGGGACGCATAGTAAGATCACATCAACATTTAATAATATTTTGACTTTCTATTTACTAAACCAATCATCTTTGTTGTGTTAACTCAAAATGTTTATTTCAATAAACTCAAAATTTTAAGGCAACAGAGTAACTTACTTTTTTAAGTTAATCCAACATTTTTTTTTACAGTGGGTAAAGAAAGTAGTGTAATTTGTAAAGGATAATGCAAAAAAGTTAAAAATGTATTTCCATTGCGGCCCTTGATGTAAAGCACAGTCTTCAGTCATAGTGACGTCATTTTTTTTCTGGGTCTAAATTGCGTAGTCAGGAATAATTTCATATACATGTGAAAACTTGAAAAATTTGAATATCCTGCAAAAGTTCATTTATTTCCGTAATTCAACTTAAAAGGCGAAACTAATATATTATTTAGACTCATTACAGATATTTCAAGCCTTTATTTGTTATGATTTTGATTATTATGGATTATAAAAGTTTATGAAAACCCCAAATTCAAAATATTGAATATTTTTTATTGAATATAATAGAATATTTTGAAAATGTTTAAAAGCTTTGAGTCATAATCATCAAAATTAAAACAAATAAAGGCTTGACATATCTCACTTTGCATGTAATGAGTCTATATAATATATTAGTTTCACCTTTTAAGTTGAATTACTGAAATAAATGAACTTTTGCACCTTATTGTAATTTTTCGAGTTTCACCTGTTTGAGTGTTGTCATATAGAGGTGATTTTGAGCATATTCTCTCCTGTTCTCAGAGTGCCATTGAGTCGCTGTTTGGAGCCTCGATGACTGGGATCGCGTACTCGCTTTTCGCGGGACAGCCTCTCACGATACTGGGCAGCACTGGACCCGTTCTGGTGTTTGAGAAAATATTGTTCAAATTCTGCAAGTATGTCCAATGCATTTGCTCTGATCTTTTATATTGCTCAGTGCACACACACGTTTAAACTCAATGATTTAAAGAACATTATTTATATTACTGTAATTGTTTTAGATGATTTGATTATCTCTATCTATCTGAATCCATCCATCCATCATTTTAGCTCTTGATCATATCTACTGCTCTACCATTTATCTCACATTCTGTCTATCGTTCTATTGTTTATTTCACTATCATCTATAAATAATTATTTCATTTATCTCTATAGATAGATAGATAGATAGATAGATAGATAGATAGATAGATAGATAGATAGATAGATAGATAGATAGATAGATAGATAGATAGATAGATAGATAGATAGATAGAATGTTAGAATGATAGAACGAACGTTAGATAGAACGAATGATAGACAGAATGATAGATAGATAGATAGATAGATAGATAGATAGATAGATAGATAGATAGATAGATAGATAGATAGATAGATAGATAGATAAAATGTTAGATAGATAGATAGATAGATAGATAGATAGATAGATAGATAGATAGATAGATAGATAGATAGATAGATAGATAGATAGATAGATAGATAGATAGATAGATAGATAGATAGATGTGTACATATGTGTACATATGTGTGTGAATATGTGACCTCAGTGTGTCTCCCTAATGTCCACCACAGTGACCCTCAGTAATGTGTCTATGTGTGTATATATATGTTAAAACACTGTGGTATCAAACGTTCATAGAATTTATAATCTGTTACACTGTTATTTTTTGCAATTAATTTAATTTGTACATTTCAATTTAAGTTGTTATAATACTTTGTTTTTATTGATGTCTTCACTATGCTATGTGTTACAAGCTTTGGCAATATTGTAATATGTACAGTCATGCCAATAAAGCAATTTGAATTGAATTGAATTATAGATAGATAGATAGATAGATAGATAGATAGATAGATAGATAGATAGATAGATAGATAGATAGATAGATAGATAGATAGATAGATAGATTGATGTTGTAGACATAGAAAGATAGATAGATAGATAGATAGATAGATAGATAGATAGATAGATAGATAGATAGATAGATAGATAGATAGATAGATAGATAGATAGATAGATAGATAGATAAAATGTTAGATAGATAGATAGATAGATAGATGGATAGATAGATAGATAGATAGATAGATAGATAGATAGATAGATAGATAGATAGATAGATAGATAGATAGATAGATAAAATGTTAGATAGATAGATAGATAGATAGATAGATAGATAGATAGATAGATAGATAGATAAAATGTTAGATAGATAGATAGATAGATAGATAGATAGATAGATAGATAGATAGATAGATAGATAGATAGATAGATAGATAGATAGATAGATAGATAGATAGATAGATGTTGTAGACATAGATAGATAGATAGATAGATAGATAGATAGATAGATAGATAGATAGATAGATAGATAGATAGATAGATAGATAGATAGATAAAATGTTAGATAGAATGATAGAACGAACGTTAGATAGAACGAATGATAGACAGAATGATAGATAGATAGATAGATAGATGTTGTAGACATAGATAGATAGATAGATAGATAGATAGATAGATAGATAGATAGATAGATAGATAGATAGATAGATAGATAGATAGATAGATAGATAGATAGATAGATAGATAGATAAAATGTTAGATAGAATGATAGAACGAACGTTAGATAGAACGAATGATAGACAGAATGATAGATAGATAGATAGATAGATAGATGTTGTAGACATAGATAGATAGATAGATAGATAGATAGATAGATAGATAGATAGATAGATAGATAGATAGATAGATAGATAGATAGATAGATAAAATGTTAGATAGAATGATAGAACGAACGTTAGATAGAACGAATGATAGACAGAATGATAGATAGATAGATAGATAGATAGATAGATGTTGTAGACATAGATAGATAGATAGATAGATAGATAGATAGATAGATAGATAGATAGATAGATAGATAGATAGATAAAATGTTAGATAGAATGATAGAACGAACGTTAGATAGAACGAATGATAGACAGAATGATAGATAGATAGATATATAGATAGATAGACGTTGTAGACATAGATAGATAGATAGATAGATAGATAGATGGATAGATAGATAGATAGATAGATAGATGTTGTAGACATAGATAGATAGATAGATAGATAGATAGATAGATAGATAGATAGATAGATAGATAAAATGTTAGATAGAATGATAGAACGAACGTTAGATAGAACGAATGATAGACAGAATGATAGATAGATAGATAGATAGATGTTGTAGACATAGATAGATAGATAGATAGATAGATAGATAGATAGATAGATAGATAGATAGATAGATAGATAGATAGATAGATAGATAGATAGATAGATAAAATGTTAGATAGAATGATAGAACGAACGTTAGATAGAACGAATGATAGACAGAATGATAGATAGATAGATAGATAGATAGATAGATGTTGTAGACATAGATAGATAGATAGATAGATAGATAGATAGATAGATAGATAGATAGATAGATAGATAGATAGATAGATAGATAGATAGATAGATAGATAGATAGATAGATAGATAGATAAAATGTTAGATAGAATGATAGAACGAACGTTAGATAGAACGAATGATAGACAGAATGATAGATAGATAGATAGATAGATAGATAGATGTTGTAGACATAGATAGATAGATAGATAGATAGATAGATAGATAGATAGATAGATAGATAGATAGATAGATAGATAGATAAAATGTTAGATAGAATGATAGAACGAACGTTAGATAGAACGAATGATAGACAGAATGATAGATAGATAGATATATAGATAGATAGACGTTGTAGACATAGATAGATAGATAGATAGATAGATAGATGGATAGATAGATAGATAGATAGATAGATGTTGTAGACATAGATAGATAGATAGATAGATAGATAGATAGATAGATAGATAGATAGATAGATAGATAGATAGATAGATAGATAGATAGATAGAAAAACAAACAGAACACTCTAGAAATTGCTTAGCAACCACTCAGAATACCTTAGTAACCTCTTAGCAAGGTCTAAATCCCCAATAACTCCCTGCACACAAGGCTGAGCTTCTGTGTTTGCAGGGAATACATGCTCACGGTGTGTGTGTGTGTGTGTGTGCAGGGAATACGGGCTGTCGTACCTGTCCCTCAGGACGTGTATCGGGCTGTGGACGGCGTTCCTCTGTCTGCTACTGGTGGCCACTGATGCCAGTTCACTCGTCTGTTACATCACGCGCTTCACCGAGGAGGCCTTCGCCTCGCTCATCTGCATCATCTTCATCTACGAGGCCTTGGAGAAGCTCATTCATCTCGGGGAGACGTATCCCATTAACATGAACAACAATCTGCAGAAACTCACCACTTACAGGTGAACATGAGGAACAGAATCAAATGGACACCAAGATTATCGATTAGAAACAAATGCAATTGAACCTGTTTTTATAGCAAAGCCAGTTAAAGGATGCTTCTGTTGTGTAGATGCTCCTGTATCGAGCCTGCAAACCCCAGCAATGCCACGCTTCTGTACTGGGAGCAGAACAACATCTCGGCTCCGGAGATCTTCTGGGAGGCTCTGGAGGTTCAGGTCAGAACTGATATTAACCCCACTTTATCATATTTGAGGCACATATTTCTAAGGCATCTAACACAATCAATTGAGAGTTTCTGCAGGTCTTAAAAAATCTTAATTAAGTCTCAACACATGAATTAAGGCCTTAAGGCGAGACACGGCAGGCAAAAATATACATTTTTTTTTTTTCCACTGGTCGATTTTGAGATATTTGTCTTCAATAACTTGTCTTCTTTCAGACTTGTGGTGAAAAAAAGTCCGAAATACACATTAAGGTCTTTATTTTACTACACTTTGTCTGTTTGCGTCTGTAGATTTCTCATAAATTCTTCAAAAGTTGTCGTTATAATGATGACGATCTGCACCGTCATCACACACACCGTTAGAAAGCTCTCTTTCTCCTGTACAACGCTGTCGGATCCAAATATGGGCATTTCCTTTTTATCAGCAACCAATCGTGAAAGTAACAGGGGGATTTAACTCTAAATGCGCGATCTCATTGGCTGATGCTAAATCTTTAAAGCCAGTTTTCTCAAAATGACTTTTCTCGAAATCTCCACTTCAGTAGCACCTATATACACCAAACTTTTCCAGTCTTGTACCTAGTTACATTATGAAGATATTTACAGAGGGATTTGTAAATATATTATTCTTAGCCTGATTTATTTAACATTTTATTCCAAAAAACACGACGAAAATCATTTTTTTAACCCCTTAACTGTCACCCCCCCCCCCTGTTTTGGGAATGGGGGTTAAATGCTCTATTCACACTTAAATGGTTGTAATTCAAGAATGCCTTGGAATATATACCCAAGTTTGGTCTTGTTTTAAAGAAAACACTCAGCAGAATATTGCTGAAGTGAAAACACTTCAAAAAATGAAAGTATGAAAAAGTTATGGAAGTTTTCATTCACAGTAAATCAAATGTACTGTACTATATATATTTTTATTTTATATAAAATATATATTTTACAAAATATTTTTACTCTAAAATTACTATAAAATCAAAGTCATAAATCTAACCAAGTTATGTTCCAAATTTGAAGTTGATATCACAAAAATCGAAGTTCCCATGAGATTTTGTTTA